CCGCGACTCTCTCCCAACAACAACAACAAAGACGTCATCATCCGCAGCAACAACAACCGCCGCAGCCGCCTCCGCCGCAGCAACAGCAACAAACTCATCATCATCATCATCGTCCTCACGCTCACCCCCATCACGGTCAACAGCAACCGCAGCAGCAGCAGCAGCAAGCTAGTTCGGTTACGTCGACCTCCTCCGGAACCGAACTGATTTCTGCTGATGAAAAAGCAGTCATATCAGGTATTTATCAGCACTACTTTCGCGCGATGCGCGCTCACAATCATCAGCATCGGCAGCAGCAACAACCACAGCAGCAAGCGACACAGCAACATCGAACGACTCATCAACTTCATCATCAACCTCACCAAAGCGACCGAAGTTCCTCCTCGTCAGTGACGCCGACGGCCACGTCGATCTCTGGCATTCTACGGCAGACGTATCAACAGACGTATAACGCGAGTTCGAATTCGTCGAGTCATCTGCGAGCAGCGACGGCCTCGGTTGTCGGGCATCACCCGTATAGACGGCCGTCGGCGACGTTACTGTCACGTACAGCGTCACACGTTGGTCAGCAGGCTTCTTCCTCATCTTCCTCGTCCTCTTCTTCCTCCTCGACGTCGATCGGTGCTTCCAGCGGCGTTTCCTCCAGCGGCGTTTCCAGCGTATACGCGAGTACGATACACAGGCATCACGCGACCTCGCTACACGCCCTCCAGGCAGCCGGTTTTTACGAAACGCCCGGTTATCATGCGCTTTTGCCGCAGAGTTAGGTGTCCACCGGCATCGGCAGCAGCACCAACGTTAACCCGTTCGAGACCGACCCCGTTGCCACCACCGTTCATTTATTCACCTAATCCGGCTGCAAAGCTGTGTGCTCTCTCTTCCCTATTGTACGACTTATCTTCCATACTCGTTAAAGAGCATACGGGTTGGTCTAAACTCTGCCTAGTACACTCGGGATACATCTATCTCTGCGACGTACACGCTACTTCTATCTACGTGTATATTCCACTGTATATACATGGATCTGTATGCATACGTATATACGTCTATGTACGTATCGTCGTCGACGCAACGACCGTACGTGCCGTGCTCTTCGTTGTTGGCAGCAGTGTGCGGGTGGCCGGACGAACGGACGAGCAGAAACCCACAGAATAAACACACGACGCATACACACCATCATCACTACTATCACCGTCACACACAGATATACGTTCGAGCCAGGGACAGATGGAGGGAAGTACCAGCAACTGAAATGGTCGTCCGTCTATACGCATCGAGCGATTTCATCCACCTGCGATACGTGTACATTATGTTCAGGTATAAAAATCCATTTGCTTAGGCCCTTTGTATTTTTAACCGGCGCACGCTTTCAGACATAGAGAGAGACCATGAGTTTTCTTCGCGTAAATTCCTGAAAGTCGGATGCCTTTCTTCGCCGGGCAAACATCATGTACACGCGGTCGTCTCTCGTTGTATACCACCGCCGT